GGCATTGGCATTTGCAGACTTGGGTGCTGAGAGATTCAACTACTGGACTTGAACAACATCCCTTCATCGACCAAAGCCTTCTCAGTCATTAACTCACAAACACCATGCACGAGGCAACGCCAGAGTCGGCGCAAACAACAAACAAAACACCGTCCAATTTTCTTACGAAACAACGAATCGGAGAGCAACTGTCCCAAAAAGACTGATTGTTTCAGTTGAGCGTGACTCTGGGGACTCTAGTCGGATTCTTTCTGCCCTTGGCGTATGTTTTGGGTGGTTTCACACGCAATGACTAGGATGCGGTCCGTGCTGCTACCTTGCACTTGTTCCTTCTCTTGTTTCAGGTGTTGAGCAAGAATCTCATCGTTGGATTGAACATGTTCGTGGTGCCGGTTCGCGCTCTGTTGCCCATTCTCTACAGCATGCGCCAATTGTTTTAGCTGAATGGGTGGGTCATTTCTATCTGGTTCACCACATCGCATCAGCCACCAGCGTTGCACCAGCATCGATTGGAACACTACAACCCAGCACTGCGCCGCACTGAAGCAACGAAAACGAAAGCAGTAGCCCCCACCAGTGCCACACTGTAGCAACTAAAAACAAGCAAACAATAACAAAATAAAACAGAATCACAGATCGACGCCGCACCAACTTCCAATGCCGTACCGCACCATAGCGTCGTAGGAGCAACCAGTAGCACCCAGTGCCGAACGGCAACAAAAACAGTATCCAGTAGCAACAGTACAAAAATGGTATCAATGAGCAAGAATAGCACAAAACAGCAGTCTATGCACAACACACCACGAAAATATTGAAGAAGATTTATTTTATTTTTATTTTTATTTTGTCACCTACTCCATTTTAATTTGCTACACACCAAAGTTGAAGGAAAGAGTATTCTTGATAAGTGAAAGATGAAAAATTTACACCACAAAGTGTGAATCCAAGAGTGCAAGTGTGTAGAAAAAATTCTAAACTTTACTCATTGTTTAAATCACCATAGCCAAGCAAAAAATTTCAAACTTGAGCTTTATTTCTTAAAAACACTTACAAGATTTCACTTGACAAGAATGACAAGTGAAGATGGATTCTCCACCTAAATCCTCAAATCTTTGTTTATACTAGCAAAGTCTACTAATATAAAACAAAAAGTGCATGAAAACCCACTACACAAAAATAGATTACATCTATTTTATGTAGTTTGGCACCCAATGTCACATCATGTGACATCTATTACATTAATAGCAAATTAAAAATATAGTAGATAAAATCATCATTAAACCATATGGTTTTAAATTTTTTACTTATCAAAAATAATGTATAAATAGCACATGTTGTGTTCATTTTGTCAAAGTTTGTCAAATTATATATATATATATATATATATATATATTATGATTTTAATTGTTAAAACATTGGCAAAAAATATGAATGAAAAATCTAATTAGTAAGTATTATAATAGGAAGTAAAATAAATAAATAAATAAACAAGAAGAAGAAGCATTTTGACTTCTAGTTTGAAGCTCATTATTTTGAATTGTTAAGAATAGAACTTTTCTTCAAATATTCTTTTGGATTAAATTTTAAAATAAACATATCTAACAAAAAAGAATGTTCTTAAAATATTATAACTTTTTTCTTTGATAGTGAATTTTGGTATTTGATAAACACATAATATATTGAAGACAAATTGTGTAGCTTATTGCAACTCAACAAAAGAATTGAAATACTTCTAAAACTTGGTAAATTTCTAGTAAAAAGAGAGTCTAAAAAGGTTTAGTTGTTTGCATGGTCTTCTTCACTATTTAAAATGATGTATGATATTATAATTTATATATTGTCAATATGAAAAAAAACACATGCAATTGTCTTGTTTTATTAGAATTGATAAGCGTAGGAGAAAATTTTACTGCACTTTTTTCAAATGTTTTCAAACATGTTCTGAAATCATATATATCTTTTTGAAAATATTTGCAATTTTTTTTCCTTTTATATTATTTATTTTATTTTAGTTCAGGAAGCAATCATACACATATTTATTTAAACTAAAACCAATGTGAATGGAAAAAACGCATCATTATTATTTTATTTCAAACATATATTCACAACTATGATCTCAACATTTAATGTTTAATTTTTACTTAAGTAGATTGAGCCATTCCAGTAATTATTTTTGAAAAAAACGTTATGCAATAGGCAATATTTTACAAAGCAGGTTTCAAACAACTTATTTCAATTTCTCAAGCACATTTTCTGAAAGAAAAAATAGATGCCTAGAATATATATATATATATATATATATATATACATATCAAAATCCTTTTACATCTACAGCTTTATTCACCTATTAAAGTATTTATATGTTTTTATAGTTTTATTTTTTTTGAAATTGACAGTTGTGAGAATAAATGTAACCAAAATTAAATATAAAGAGCAAATAAAAAGTTTTATAATTTATTTCCTTCAAGAAATGTGTTTTTAAAGGTATTTATGGCTTAGACATAAATATATTCAATCAATGAAACCTTAGTTACATGCTTGCATTGATTCACCACTGTGAGTATCTTAGCAAAATGGTTGTTATGTTTATTTAAATGGCTACAAAAGATAAATCATATAATTTTAAAATTCAACGTATTAGTGGATGAGCTTACTAAAAAAAATTAATATATATATATATATAGTTATATATTTGCATACAATTTTATAATGTATGATATGCACAAAAATAACTTGAATTTGAAAATTGAAATACTTATGTGATAAAAAGCATAACAAAGTCAACAATATTTTTATCTAAAAAATAATTTAAAAAATCCTTTTGTCACAATATATTGTCTTCACTAATCTGTTGAAAGATTGTATTTATATCACATGATGGATTTAAAAACCATTTTTTTCATAGAGTAATATGTTATGTAAACAAACATATCAACTTTTTTTCTTTAAGAAATCAACAGATCTATGCCCGAAACTTGGCAAAGCTCACAATACTCATTGAATACATTATTATGTCTTTATCTTCTTTTCTTTTGTATTAAGATAGAATATAGCCAGATTAGATATAGATGGATTAATACGAAATCAAATAATATAGTGTACAAAATATTTAGGGTATTACTAATGCCACCATAATTTATGTTATTGCCACTACAAACCTCCATCCACCACATGCCACCTACACCCTTTGTAAATAATATATAAAAAACAATATATATAAAATATAAATATTAACGATTTTTGTATAAAAATAAAAAAATACATGTCTAGCATGCTATGGTGGCAATAGCAAAATTATAATGAAATTAGCAATATCCATTATTTATATACAATCTTACAGCAACAATTCCATTATAAGATCGAATACAACTTTTGATATTTTATTTAGAAATTTAAATTACAAATTATTGCAATAGCTAATAATTGGATTTTAAGAAGAGGTCATATTTTTGCAATACTGTGTCTCACATGAATGGTTTCACATCAAAAATTAGTTAAGTTCTATAAATGTATAAAAACCATTATAATGTTTTGAACAAATTTATCATTGAGGCACTAAAAAGACAGTAACAGCAATGTCATGGTGCAAGTGTGATTACAGTAACAATCAATTCCGAATCTGATATTATCAAATCCAAATAAAATCAAAATTCAATTCATTTTTTTTAAAAGTTAAAATTACAATTTCTTCTTTTATAATTTGGATAACCTAAAACATTTGTTTTTTAAAAAATAAATGCATAAAAGAATGGTAAGAATAGAAACTACATAAACTAGGATTTATTTTTGCATGTTTAATTATATATATAACAGTAAGAATCTAATGTTCAATAATAACTTAGATAATGAAATGACTATTATTAAACACTAAAAGATCTTTGTCATTCATTCACTTAAGTAGGTGTCAATTCTGTATCTATCCTTATTTCTTGTAAAGCTAAAAACTTCTTAATCCATACAACCAACAATAATTATACAGTTTTAAGGATTTCATTTGCATTGGTGTATTTGTGCATCACATAAATACACCTAAATAAAAACCAAAATCATGTCAATAGTATATAAATATGCTCTTTGCACTTCAACCTATATATGTATAGCATCATGGTTACATTTTTTGTGGGCTAATTCTGAAACTAGTTTATGTATTTTATTTTCCTAATATCTACTTAATATATTTGAACCAAGATTTTAATGTTTTGTGCAAACGCTGAAAAATCATTTTTATTAAAATTTTAAAGTGTCATTTGTAAATTGATGATTCAATGCATTTAGGTTTAAACTTTTATAAAGTGTGTTTGTACCAACAACTATGACTCACATTGGCAATTTGGTTGTTAATGAAAATTAAATCAAAGAACCATTCTTGTGTTGGACAAATTGAAAGAGGGGAAGAAAAGAAAAGAAAACAAGTTTGGTGAATTTTTAAAGATGATATTCGTTGTTATAAAAATAAAAAATAAAACCAAACATAAATAAAAGGAATGAAAAACTACTAGTTGCAAATTAAGCTTTACAAATATCATCTGTAAAACTAGCAAAGAGTAAAACAACTTTTTGTCCGTACCAATTTTGAAAGTTAACCATATCTAAAAGTTCATATTTTCATAACATGGCAATGAAATATAAACCAGCATTTGTAATTAATGATAAACGAAATAACACTGGAATCTATTGAACACCATCTACAATGTTTACACCCACGTTATCACCAAACTGTCCCATAGACATGCTCATGTTCGAGTGGTCTGAGTATAATAATCTAAGAGTCACAAATTGTGCGGTTATAAGAGGGAGGACTCATTCACACTGCCAAAGATATACTGCTTAGCAGCGTATCAATCTATAAAGCGAAACAGACATTTTCAGGACCGATTAAGACATGCATCCCTGTCAAAATGTTAAACAAATTCACTGAAATTGACATGACTAATCTCGCAGGTTGGACCCCTTAAACTGAGCAGAACAAACCCATAAACATACAAGATTTGCACAAGAGACAAGAGAAGTGACTGCTTGTCAGTCACTGAGGCGTCCTGAGATGCAGCAGTACTTCACGCACGGCAAGGCAAGTTGCATCATAATGTCTCATGAAAGCTGCGATCCGCGCTTTCACTTTATGGGAGTCGTTACCGTCATCCAAAATTGTCAGAAAGTCTCAACAGAAGTTGAAGTAACTCCTAGAGATATTTTGTAAGTATCTATTGTACAACTCAGACATGCCCAGCATGATGCTTAGCCTTCCATAAGAGAGGGACTGCTTGACCAAAGGATGGACTCCTACACAGAGAGTAAAACGACATTCATCCTCCAAAGAATGAGAGTTGGCACGAGTGGTGGGCAGGGAGGGATGGATAAGTATGAAGTCATGAAATGGTGGGAAAAATGGTATCAGTTGAAAGGAATAATAATCTAAGTACCGAGTCAACCAATTTTAGTTCTTTGGGCAACTAACTGCAGAAATGCGGTGCGTAGTTTAGAATTGGAGGAGAAGAGACCTAGTGACGCGTACGTGGTTGTGGAGGAGGCTACTTGTTGCACACCCCGTGACAGCATACACATGTGACTTGCTTCAACCATCACCATCACTGAACCCCCGATGGCCTCCGCAATCTCCCTGGTCAGGCGTTCTTGCACCTGTAACCGAAGACTATAGCCTCTCACCACTCTCTGCACATTGTCTCTGTCCAGCTGCTGCCTCCTACCTCGTCCTTGCCGCTGGGCCAAATAGGCTACGTGCACTACTCCCAGAAATGGGAGCAAGTGGTGTTCGCACTGTGAGCAAAATGGGAAGTCGAACGCCGTGGAGATGCCCTCCTCTACAAGCCCAGAATTAGAGACTAGGTCCGGTTCGCACGTCAATACCTGCAACCCTGACATTAAATCTAGATAACCAGGGGTTCCCATTCGACTGCCTTGCGTGGATGTCAGAAGCCATCGCACGAATCGCATGGACGTAAGACGAAGTTCCTCCCGATTCGGATCTTCTCCTATGGCCCTTAATAAGGCTTCTACCGCTGATACCATATCTGGTAGGGCAGGCACGGTGCAGTCAAGCTCGAAGCGAGACGTACGACTGGTCTTTTGTAAGCCATTGCCGAAGATATCTTTTTCACTGCACCCATTACAGGACTGCGGAAGCACAGCAGTGTCCCCATTTTCCAATGGCAACGCGTCAAAATGAGCAAATGGACATCCAGACGGATTTGTGTCATCTATCCCTACTTTAGGAGCAGCACGGTTCTCGACACTGTGACATTGCAGCTGGAGAAGGGCTACGAGCTCTTCCCACAGCGCGCCACTCTTGTCCTCGAACTGCCCTGTGCCAGCATACACAGTTGAAGAAACCCAGCCCACATGACTCTCCAGATCGGCCACGACGCCACTCTCCTTGGCACCTGCATAGAATTACAATCTGAGTGAGTTGATCCATAATTCTTGTCGCTCAAAACGAATACATTGAGCTTGCCCAGGACATTCAGTGACAGATCCGATCACATGAATAAGTGCCACACCTGGCCACTGCAGATGCCAACTCTCCACAGCTACGGCTACACCCAATGGCTCCGGTTGAAGTGCCTCCGTCAAAGAGAGAACAACTTCGTTGGCGAATCGGTGAGGGTTCTGCAGCTTCTTCGCAAAGATCTCTGCCACGCGAGGAAGCTTGCTGAGCCCTACTACACGCTCTCCAACGGGAATGTAAGCTATGTGGCATCGTATACGAAACGGTAGAAGACAAGCCTCACACAGAGCAAAAAGGTCCACGTTCCGAACCACTACTATGCCTCCGCAACCACCTCCACTACCATTGCTACCGCTTGCTCCAGGTTCCATAAAGAGAGCTCCTCCTACCACGTCTTTGGCTGATTGCCGATAACCTACACAATTCAACCGCTCGCTTTGTCACATACCAAACAACAGCCAGCTTCACATGCAGTATGCTGGCACACACACATCCCGGCTAGCAGATTGTGCAACCAATGCTTAAATGAACGTCAAGGCACCATAGTCCAGGCGCTACATCAAGCTGACTACGCCATCCTAAGGTACCCGGGGAAAAACAATAAACCACACTAAAACCATAGTTTGACGTGGCAACAAGTTCTCCAATCATAAAGACCGTGTTGTGGATACCAAAACCATAAGACACCCTTCTGACAGCGGATTGTGTTCCCGAACGCAACCAAGTTCGCGACGCGCCGCCACTCCCAAAATAAATTCTCGTTGTAAACTAATAATAGCCAATTGTTATAATCATGCTCATAACCCTGCTTACATGTCAGATGTAATCGTAACTTGCCCCCTTAAAAATCAATGAAAAACATTATGCATCGAAAGTGACAAGTTACTGAACTCAATGTTACAGTGCCACCAGCGAAATCACTAATTCAAATCTGAGCATAGAGCTTCAAATGAGCTGGGATTACGAGAATACCACCAGCTTCCAATCCAAATTAACCAAAATGAAAAATAACACATCAAAGACCTAAAATTGAATTAATGACATAAGGAGAAGGATCCTTCAAATAAAAAAAACCCCCATGAAACTGAAGCGCACGAAGCTATCTAAACTAAATTCAAAAGCCGATGCTCGAATGCAAAAGACGGGCAGTCTGACAATTGAGTGCATGAGAAACATCAAAACAAATGTAAATGAAAGACCTAAAAATCATAAAAAAACCCGTAAACCCCCAACCCTGAGATCACCTCTAGTAGCGTCCTGGAATGCCTGCGCCACACGCAATGGTGTTTTGAGAAGCCCATCGCGGTTGACATCTTCGCCCAGCCCTACCAACAGAACCTTCACCGCGGACATCATGTCCAACAGGTTCAATGGATCTCCATCCACGGACGCAATTGTGGATGCATCGCTGCTATCCTCGCTTCCAGCATGAAGCTCCTCCACCCACTCCTCCACGACGTGCCCCTAGACATCCCACCATCCCTCCCCACATCAGGCAAGGCTTTCAAACACTAAACCCAAACCCAGAAAAAAAGACACACCGTGCAGAAACACACAATGCAACCAGAGCATATACTCACCTGCGCGCTGTGAAATCCATTGCGCAAAATGACGCAGCCATCGTCGTGGCATTCTTCGTAGGACGTAACTATGGGCCTCTCCCGAAGAAAGCCCATGAAAATTAAGCCCTACCTCTCACACACACCTTAACGAACTCGAACCAAAAAAATAAAAATAAAAATAAACAAACCAAAAAAAACACACACACAGATACACAAACACACTCGAGTCTGGACAAACAACTCACTCGCTACAGTAAAGAAAAATAGTGATACTCGAAATCTAACAGAGGAAAACAGCAGCGCAAGTAGGGGATACACGCAAAGCGGAGAATCGCAAGAAGTAGCGAGTAGGAGGCGCCGTCGCAGGGTGCGGAGCAGCGAAAGCCAAGGGAAATAAAAACAAAAAACAAAAAAACAAAAAGAAAAAAAGCAACGCAGCAGCAGAGCCGCACCAGCGCAGGCCCCCTTCCCCAGCGGGGGCACGGGTATGCGCCGGGACGGGGCGGGGCGAAGGCGCCACGCCGTGCCCTGTAAGTACAGTGAGGAGTAAAACGGCGCGGGGTTGGGGTGGAGGGGGCTGAGATGGCAATGGGTGGGGAGCTGCGCAATCCTCAATTTAGTGTATTGGAACCGTCGAACCTGCGCCGAACCTATCACATTCCTTCAATTATGACCCATCACCGCACCACCTGAATATTCCCCGCCTTTCGCTCCCCACCCCCCGCTGCCCGCCTGCTCCCCCCCGAAGTTGGATCTGCCCACACTGCCCGGGTCTATCCTGCCAGCCCTTCCTCGGGCAGTTGAAATCATTCCCTCCCTGTACTCTTTTTCTGTTTTCTCTGGGGGGGTTTTTTTTAGCTCATGAAATCTTTTGTGTTGAATGTGAGAATGGTTCGTGTTTCTAAAGCTTGCATCCCCACGTGTTACATCTTTGATTGGTACATTGATTCCTTCAATACTTGAAGTATTATTTTTGGAATATTTGAAGTTTGGTTGTGGAATGAATATTGTTCCTTAGCCTCTTTATGTTATTTTAAGAAAATTGCTGAATGCAGACATTTATTGCTCCCATGTACAAAGTTATCATTGTGTTTATAGAAGAATTTCAGGTGCCACAGGTAAAGACAATTATAGGTTTATGGAAAGATTATAGCCGCAACCTAGAAAGTCAGTAATAAAATATACAGAAGAATTATAGTTTTCATGCACAAACATCTGTTACTCCTCTTCGTCCCAAACTGTACAACTGCTTGGAGAGAGAGAATATATTGTGTAAATTTTAATTTTTCATTATCCTGTTTTAATTTTTTACTATCTACTGGAAGAGTAACTCTTTTATTAATATTTTATTATTATTGCTACGTAATATATTGTCAGTATTTACCACAAATTGATTGTTTTATATTTATGTTAGGGTGTTGGTATTGCTACCCCATTCTTTCGCTATTGCCATGTGAACTTGCCATCAACCACATATCACTATAGTTTTTGCTACTACTAACAAAAGCTGTCATAGATTTATCCTAAATTTGCTTTGCACACCACAATGCACTTGTCAGCCTTTTATTTGATTGAAGTATTAAGATCTAGATTTGAAAGATACATCCAAAGTATGAACTATACAAAAGACAAAGAGGAGTAATGAGCATGAAAATTTGCTTACCAAGAATACACAAACAATAAAAAATTGAGTGTTGATAAAAGTTTTGTTTCCAATAATTAGATTTCATTACTCAAACATTATTTCTTCTATGTATATATGTATTTGGTTCTAGGAGCTCTTTCTAACAACATTTGATTAAAATTAATTGGTAATAAAAAAATTAAATATACAAAATCAATGATATTTGATTGATAATAAAGCACACACTCATATACAATTATAATTGTAATTGATTTTGTAATAGCATTATTGATAGATATAAATATTGATGCAAACTTACATAAATGGTGGCATCATATTTTAAACTATAAAAGAATTCATTAATATTATCATAAACTTTATCTTAATATTCTAATTTTAATATTTTAATGATATTTGAATATACATCATATATCAATCTAGTTTAATTATACCAAAATGTAATAAAAATTGATAGTTGAAGGTTTATACTTTGATTTTTTAAAATCTCAAAATTATACCAATTCTAATTTCAAAAATAATATTATAAAATTTACTTAAATAATCTAAAAATAGATTATAAGACTTAAATACCAATATGATTTTAAAATTATATATTTCATTACATATGCTAAATATTTTATGCAATAAATTTGATTTTTATTTATACAATATTTTGATTTGAATAATTTATTTTATCATATTTTAAAGTTGATTTTAACCTATATGGTATTATATTAGGTAGTATTATTATAGATATTATAAACCAAATTTATTATTTTAAATTAATAAAGTTCATCAAATAATAAAATATAAGTTTAAAATATCTTTTTAGAGCTTTTTTCTTCATAAAATTCTTTAAATGATTTATTCATGTTAGTATAATATTTTTCTAGCTTTTATGAATATATTTTAAAATTTTTATATATTTATAGAAACTTTTTTTTGGATGTGATTTCCAACTTATTGTCTTGCCATTTGAATTGACTAATTTTATTTAATATATAGTGTACATATTATTCAATTCTTCTCAAATTTTATGTGATTATAAATTATATGTGTATTAAAGTCTGGGTGAAATTTTAATCAAGATCAATAGTTAAATTAATATTTATTGAAGTTTCAAAAAAACTATAATAGTTGATTAAGATTTATTTAGAATTTGATTAGGATTGATTAGGATTTAGTTGATGGTTTCGTTTAAGTTTTGATTGGAGCTTGATTAGAACTTGATCAGGATATGATTAGGATTTAGCAAAGATTTGAATAAAATTTGAATAAAATTAGATTAAGAATTGACTAGGATTAGATTAGGATTTGATTAAGATTTGATTAGAATTGATTAATATTTAGTCTAGGATTTAATTTAGATTTTGACTAGGACTTAACTAGGATTTGATTAAGATTTAATTAAGACTTGACTAAAATTTGATTAAAATTTGATTAGAATTAGATTAAAATTTGATTAGGATTCAATTAGGATTTGATTAAGATTACATTAATACTTAATTATGGTTTGATTAGGATTTGACTAAGATTTTATTGATATTTAATTATAATTAGATTAAAATTTGATTAGGATTTGATTAGGATTTGACTAGGATTTGATTGAGATTTAATTAGAATTTAAATTTAATTAGGATTATTTCAAATTTTTATTAAAATTTGGTTTAAATTTAAGATTTAAGATTTGATTAGAATTTCATTAGGATTTAAATTTGATACTCAAAGGTTGACAAGGTCAAAATTAGACCTCTAGCTACTAAAATGACCACTTAGAGTAAAATAAGGAAATATTTTAAGATCGGCAATTAGGATTGGTGATCTAGCTTCAAATTGATTTTAGAAGTATAAGGCTTGTTTTTAGAGGATTTAGAATGACTTTGCAATTTTTGTTCAAAGTCAGGGTTTGTATTGGTGATTTGGAATTTATATAATAGAATTAAGACTAGCACTCTCGACTAATTCATTCAATTAATGTTACATCTATAGTTTAAAATTTAAAAGTGCTTAATTTATTAGATGTATTAGTTGTGTGTAAAATTTTATGTTAATCTAATAATGCAATTGAGAGATATCTAGGTTTTGGTAGAAGAAGGTATTAAAAATTGGCAATTTGAAGTTGGATAGGATTTCTATGATATCTAAACATCTACTACTTGGATCAAAATAAAATTTGGCATAATATTAGAAGACTTTAAGATCAAGCTATACACCAATTTTGAATTAAAGATAACAATTCGAGAAGGAGAAATTGCTACTAAAACATTTGCATCAACTTTCAAGTTGGTGACCAAATGATATCAGTACAATTTTTAGGCTTTTTCTCACAATTTGTAAATTAGATTGGCTTGAATTTTTTTTGAGATATAGAAGGTTTATAGTGGCATTTTTGTGTAAATTTTTTTATTAAGTAGATGATAAGATTAGGATTTATAGTTCACCAAAGCTCAATGAGTAGGAATAGGGCTTACAAAGAGAAATCAAAATTACCTAATTATAGAAGTAATAAGATAGTTAGAATTTATATGTAATTGAGATTACTAAAAAGAATGTTTTTAAGTACTTTGTACTAGCTTTAAGCACTTTTGAATTAAAATTAAAATTACATTCTTCTTATATGGATGAAATCTATTAAGATTTTTTGGATATTTGTAAAACACAACTTCACCTTCCATAGCTAGGTGCGTGGTGCATTCTCAAGCAAAACAACACATATTATGACAATGTTTTATAGGACCTCTAACATGTATCTCATTTATGAGACACATGTTTTAACTTACAAGATTTTTTTTACATGTGTGCCACATGATTAGCTAATACTACAAGCTATCAATATATATAATATGTGCATAATTTGTTGGCCAAATATTCAATCTATCAATCACCTATAGACATGTATAAAGGTGAAACCGCATCTATGAAGCTTTTAAGAAGATAATCCTTAAGATATTATTATATTAATATATTTTTATATATTTCTATTTATTTTTATTATCTAAATAAAAATTAAAATAAAAATATAAATCTATGACATTATTCCTCTTTTTAGGAACTAATTCTACAAAGAACAGTGATCATATGTTGATGAAGTCTAAGATGCATCAAATTATATTTGTAACATAATTTGATCTTTGTTTCTTTTGAAGATAGTTGATAGGTCCTTTCAATTATTGATAATGTCTTATTTTAAGACAAAAAGACCACCTTGATATTTAATCAATGTTGAGGCCTTTGTAACTTCTTTCAAATAAAATATTTATAATACCATCAAGAGTTGTTTCTACCTCTAATAAAATTATCAAATATTGGAAGTCTCTTTTAAGAATGTGATACCAAATGCATTGTATCTTGCTATCTATTCAAAAACAAATATGTTATTTTTAACGATCTTTATTTCTATTATGTTGTCTTAAAGATTATGACAAACATAATGTATTGTCTAATAAGTCAAAAAATGATAGCTCTTAAGTTAAATTTTCTAGCTATTAATTCTCTATCTTATTATTAATATTAATATAAAAAATCATAATAAAAGATAGAAGATAGAATTTAATCTTTATTGAGCATCTTTTCTTTTATGGTAAAGATTTGCTTGACTCTTTATCATGGTTTTGATGGATGTGGTTGATGAAAAGCTTTGAGCTTTTCAATTGTATTTACAAGATTCTTTATTAGCTCTTATGTGCACTCACTAATATTATATCTATGCCAATGTACAAGATATTTCAACCTAAATTGGTGCCGTCTTGAGTCTAAGACTTCTTCTATTTTAAATTCTTGATTATTATCCACT